CTCAATAAACTGAAGAGGTAGGATCATGTAACAGACTAAAATACCCAAAAGCCAGCTATACCTGGGTTCTAACTACTAGCAATAAAGCTACTCATCATAGGCAATTTATACATACCAACTCAGGAATTAAGCTAAAGAAATAAAAAATGAGGGGTTGGGGAGATAGCTCAGTAGAATAAGCGCTTGCCTGGCAAGCAGAGGGGTCTGAGTTCAATCCCCAGTTCCACCAAAAAAAAAAAAAAAAAAAAAAGACTGAAGAGAAATTTAGGGAAAAATGTATTTGGAACTTACTAAAGGCAAACCCACAGAACAATGAGGTTGATCAATCTAAAAGGCACTCACTTGGATCGTCTGAAGTGGTAACAGCAGAAATAACAAAGTAGGTGACTGAGATTCTAGAAAAAAATCAAGTAAGAAATAATTTTTTAGACAACTGCATAAATGGTGACCATAATGATAGACATGCTTAGCGGCAGTAGAGCAGATACAGATAAAAAATTAGAAGAGCTTAGAAAAATGATATAAATCATGAATGTACAACATAGGAAATAAATGGAATCCATGAAACAGTTTCAAACAGAGATGCAGGAGATTAAAAATTCCATCAGAAGGCCAAGGATACAGGTTAGTGTCATAGCACCTGCCTGGCAAGTGTAAGGTCTTGAATTTGATTCCCAGTGAGAAAAACAAAAAATCCACTGAAAGTATATGCAGCAGAATGAGCCAATTGAGGACAGAATCTCAGATATAGAAGACAGGATTATAGCTAGTGATCATGAAAAGAAAGATTTCTTAAAAATAAGAAGGGACACAAATCAATCCAGCAGCTGCTAGATGATGCAAAGAAGAGTAACATAAGATTGATTGGGCTGACTGAAAAAAGTAGGAGATAGCATATATGACCTAAAAAAATACTGTCTTATGGCAGAAAATTTCTCAAGCATGGAGAAAAAATTTTATGTACAGATAAGTGAGGCATTAATACTTTAGTACACAAACTTGAGCTCCATCTGGACAACCCCATTACAAAATAAAAAACCAGTAAAAGGATTGGGGATGTAGCTTAGTGGGGAGGCCCTGGTTTCAATATGAAAACAACAGCAATAACAATAACAAAAACAATAAAAACAGCAAAACTTTTGTTTTAAATTAATTTTATTGAGAAAAAAATAGCAATGAGACAGTTTCAAAACAGGTTAGTAGGACAGTTACAATAATGCATATTGTTGTCTTCATAGTAGTTATTCACAGTAGATGTAGACATGATATCCTGTCCAAACACTATTAGTACAAATCTTTCTTCTCATTGAATTAAGAGACAGTAGCTGTGTGTCTATCCTATTTTGTATATA